AGCGCTACGACTGTCGAAAGTCTATGTTAAGGTATGGGAGTTACGATCACCTTAGGACTAACATCGCTTTGTAGCAACGGTAGCTGGTTGTGTCAAGACCAGGAGCTGTGCCTTTTTTATGTTGTATCGCATCATCAAACTCTGTCACAGTAAATGGTACCAGATGCTTGCTTTGCGGCGGTTTTGAGATCTTAGGCATAAGCATTTTTTCCTGTTTGAATTCTTCGCTGCAATTTGTGTTGCTGCTGACAGATGAGAAGTGCTCAGCTAGAATGTTGGCCTTTTCTTTGACTGTATGGGCGTTGGCTAACTTGGGAATTTTTGTGGGTTTACGCTTACCCCTGATTGCGTGTATTTTGCTCCAGACTGTTTTAGCATTTGTTTTCTCATCAAGGGATTTGCAGAAGGTCTGCCATGACTCTTTTTTAGAATCATCTTTGAGTTGTCTTACTTTTGTCCTGGCTGCTCGGACTTGGGCGAAGGCTGATCCCTGTTCCACCATGGTACCGGCGTTTTGCCAGTTTTGTGGTCTTTTTTTGGAATTGATTTTTCAGCTGCGGCAATAATTGCTGAGGTGAGATTTTGGTAAAAAAGATCAGGATCATCAAGCAATTTCTGAGGACTTGAATGATATACATTCCTTCCTGAATTTAGGCCAATCAGCCTTTGCATAGTCCCATGTGGGCTGAGGATTGGGCTGTTCCTCTAATTGTGGTGGGCTACCTATGTAGGTGAGTATAGGAAGGTGATCGCTTCCCCAAGTGTCGTCATGGACTTGCCATTGGCAATGTGAGGCGAGGTTTTTGGTGGCAATTGTGAGATCAATTGAACTCCACGTGTTGTGGACTTGGTCATAACGTGTGTGACTGCCGTTGTTCAGAGTTATGACATTGTCGTCCTCAACCAATTTCTCTACCATTTTGCCGTATTTGCATGAATCATTCCTGTCTTCCCAAAGAGGGCTGTGGGCATTAAAGTCACCAAGGATTATCCCATTTTTGCCTACTATTTGAGCTAGTCTTGTTAGCTCTTCCATGTTTGTTTCATGGGTAACCCTGTGATATATGTTAGCTATGCGTAATTCATTGCCATTTGCCAGTTTTAGGGAGATTACTTGTGTTTCAAGGTTTCCTACGTTTGATTCGATATTTTTGGAGGTACAGCTGTCGTGGACAAGGGTGATTAGTCCTCCTCCCTTGTTGCAAGGCATAAGTCTTTTTCTGTCTTTTCTATATTGGGTGTACCCAGGTAGTGTGAATTTGGCTTTTTCACTGAGTTTAGTCTCCTGTATTAGAATGACATGCGGCTTCATCACCTGTTTTTTGACTAGTGCAGTCAGTTCATTGCCATGGCTCTTAAGGCCATTTGCGTTCCACTGTAGTAAAAGCAAGTCCATGATTGTTTATAGATAAGCGCTTTTTGAGTTTTAGGGCATACCCTATTTAGGAACTGTTTCTTTGTTCCTTTGTATTTCATTATTTTGGAAGCCAGTTTGAGGATGCAGGTGGCTTTGGCTTTGACACTCATTTTTCTGCTTGTAATTTGGATCAATGCCGTGGCAACGAACTCTACAACTTTGTTTGTGTTCTGAGCCTTTTGTTTACCATGAGCTGGTGTTTTCATTGCCTGACAGATTCGTTTGCTGTGTTCCTCAGTTAGAGACCTGAGGAGATTATGTGCAATTGTGGACAGGCTTATATTGGCGATTATAATGGCCCCTCAAAACCTGAATTATAGAACATCAAAGTTCAGCCTTTAATGATGACTCTAAGTCAGCTCTGTCCTACCATATCCGTGACAACCCAAGCCACAGCATTCAGTGGGACAAAGTAAAAGCCCTCACCACCAACCTCAAAGACTTCAAAATCAGAAAACTACAAGAAGCCTCAACATCAAAAGACTCCAACCATCAATCAACTGTGCCCAAGGCTATTACATCAAAGACACCAATCAGTCATCGTCCATTTGTTTATATAACTGGCCTCACCCTTTGGTTTATATTACTGACTTCACCAGTCAAGATGTTTACACTTTTGTGTACATAAGAGGCTTCTCCACTCCAGCGTAACTAAACCTTAAATCTACTCCACTGTATAAACACTGCCTCCCGTATATATACTTGTCAACAATTCTCTGTACATCGTAAAATCTCCAATATAAGTAAGTAAGTCTCTGTACATCAGTTATGGCCTCTCTCTGCCTCTTCAACCCATACCGTTCTCTCTCCTACTTTATCCCCCTTCATTTACAGTTTTTTGGGCTAGATGTTTATTATTATTCCCACTATTTATGATTTTATAAGACCCGTCAGCCCCGAGTGCGAAAAAGCCAGAGGTTGAAGCGCTCGTAAAATCTCCCAACTATTGATCGATTGATCTGTACATCACTAGCTTGATAACGGTGTTAGAACCTACGCCGGAATGTCTTCCCTAATTGTAATAAAAAAGTTGTTCATCCATATATCTTATCCTTACTTAGGTTTAAAAACTGATGCATCTTATGTTATAATTTCCACATTGTTCACTTCTGGTTCAGATTTTGTGAGCAGGACACCTTTTCTGTTTCTTTCACATTATCTTTTCTTGAAAAGAAACAGAAATGAGATTGTTAACTATATGATTTTGTGAATATCCCGGCTTGGTCCGGTTGATCATGTTGATGGTCCGGTTTTTATGAGCGGAAGCGGAAGTCCTTCTGATTATGTAAATGAGAAAGGCAATGGCGGGAATAAAGGACATTGAGACCAAACACAAGCATTAGAGGGCTATATTCAATACTGTAAAAGGTTTTTCTGTGTCACAAAAGTACAGATTGACGTTTGGTACTTTAATATACATTATGTACCCTATGACACTAACCAGGTGGTGGGCGACATCTATTGTATTAGGTGATTAGCCCGAGGTAATTAGGGCATTTACATTAAACATTGTTTCAATATAGATAACTATTGAATGTTTTGGTTCATGTGATAATGTTTTTATGCTTTAATATTTAGAACATTGAAATACTATTTTATTTTAATACTTTATGCATTAACATTTATTCTACCATGAATTTGGAATTTACTTGATTCTGAGCGTTCAGTTCCAAATTCAATTCAGCAGGGTTAAATCTACAGGTAACCTAGCTCTACATTGAAAACACAGTATGTTTATCTCCTAATTATACCATGAATTTAGAAATTACTTGATTCTGATTGGTCAATCAAACACTATTAAATCACAATAAACCCCCTCTGATTGAAACAGCTGGTTTGACAGCCGCATCACTGCGGAAGCTAATATTATTAGAATAGTACTTTTTTTAGTCATTGTCAGTAGGCATATTTAAATAATTATATATATAATTACAGGAGACAAAATGCAAAGTTGTGGTTACTATGATATTCACAGGATGTGTGGCAATACATTTTGTGCAGAAAACACAATAGAAATCTACAAAGAGAATGTATTTTAAGTTTTAGGGACAACAGAGAGCTTGGAGTTTGGCGCCATTCTATATATGACTGTGATGTCATTCCTTTGCATCACAATGCGCGATATGACGTCATAATGATGACGTACGGTGTAGAACGAAAGCTTTGCAAAGCTTGCATAATTTTCTTTCAGGATGCCCCACTCATGTTAGCTGATGTTGCCGTGCATATATGCTTTCAATGCCTGTCATATGTCCGATCGAAGTACATGTATTACAGTGTAAACAAACTCAGAGCATATACAGCGCCATATTTTGTTTAAAGGCTGTTGTCGGTGATTCCGTAATTCAGATCGACAACCCACTCAAAAAATTGGACTCAACCCAAGCCACTTCATTCAATATATTTACTAACACCAAAGAGTTCACGTTTAATTTAGTCATAGTAGAATGGAGATAAACATACTGTGTTTTCAATGTAGAGCTAGGTTGCCTGTAGATTTAACAACGCTAAATTTAACATTTGCAAATGTTCAACTGCGTTCAGTTCCAAATTCAATTTAAATCTACTGTTAACCTAACTCTACATTGAAAACACAGTATGTTTATCCCCTAATTTAATGAATAACTACCAGTTTCTAACAGTTACTTCAATTTTAAAGATTTCAGCATTATCACAAAACTCATGTTCATATTTAATGCCCATGATATTTGTAGAGCTGCTTCACGACTGCAACAGGATATTGTGATTTGTAGCAAATAAACTGAAGAAACTAACCAATCTGTGTTCAAACAAGTGAGCGTTCACTTCTTCCTCAGAAATCACCAATTTATCCTTCATTCATTTATACAGAGCCTCTGAATAAATAGCCTCCGTCTCCATTGTATTTTCGTTTCAGCTTTTGAAATTGATAGGACTAAATTGCAAATAAACCTTTTGAGGTTTTCAATATGCTATTTGTATTAACGATCTATCCAGTTCTGCAAAGTTGTATGTACTCGTGTGACATGCATTTTAAGTGTCCAATCTCCACTGATACACAGTTGAAATGAAAATAGAATTTAAACCTCTAGAACTAATGAGATGTCATCATTAGTGGAGGAAAACATAGACATTCAACTCTGCTACATAGTGCTGCCTTGCACTGTAGGGGGCTTATTGTGAAGTGAATTAAAAGTACATGCACTGTCACCTCATGTGTTTTTATTGTTTAATTTAACTCGAAATGTGTTGTATACATCATGTATACTATTAACAGACACCAAGGTGATAATTACCCAACTTGCATGGTCATATGACGCATGACATGACACTTTATTGCAACACTTTTTCACCCAGCGTATTTTAGCTACATTTCTGCATTTGGAACATGAAGATGATATCATCTTTTCAAAATACAACACTGATTTTGGCATCATGTGCATGCCTTGCATCAAGTTTTCTTGTTTGTCCAGTGAGCAGGCCATAGCATTAGCTCACTTGACATTCATTCATGTGAGCTTAAACATCTTTCCCAAATGACTTAAGTCCTCATTTCAGTTCTTGAAGTTATGTTAAGGTAATGAAGTGTTGTGGACAGCCCTACCTGAAACTTTCCAGCGATGTGAAGGGATCTGAAAGCTAAGTTGTTTTGCTGTAAACCCTTGGCTATTACATCCAGCACATCATGCCACTGAAATGAAGAAGATTTGAGATAGTATTTTCAGCCATTTCTTCAAGAATAAACCCATAGTGAGAAATTGGTGCTGTGGGTGCAATGAGGGGCTTCACTTGCTACTTTCAGTGATAAACTGAATATTATGATACAGTGCTGCTGTACTCTAGTTTACATACATCAGACTAAACCACACTAAGTACAAGCAGACATACTATAGCTGAAACATTGGTGATCAGAGAAATAACTCACTGAGGCACAAAGTAATGAAAATACAATTCAGAAGTAAGTTTTCAAGCAATAATCCTCCACGACCAAGACAACTGTTCAACACCACATTGATAGTGATACCAGAACATAATGTGTTTTCAACACTAAACTAGATTGTTGAACTATCACTTTAGTACAAACTCTTTACTTATGTAGCTGGAGTCCCACAGACAGGAGGGGTAAGAAATATATTATGTTCCTTTAACCTCAAGGCAGTTAACACAGAATGAAGCAAACCAATGCTTCAAACATATAGAATAACTATAGAATAACACTTTTGCCAAGGGATTAAATCCATGTGTTTTCTTGTTTGTAGTAGCTAGATATCTGTGTTACAGAACGGAAGATGTTATGCTGCATCCAACATTAAATGACATCACTTCCAGTCAATCAGACATCAGTCACATCCACTAGTGTGTGATGCCACTTCCAGAATTTATGACACCCCTTCAAGCTTGATGACATCCTCTTATAAGGTTTACTGACATAACATGCCTTGTGAAAGACATAGATTTACTTATGTCACTCACTCCTACATGCATGCAAACAGGTGATGACTGGAATTAAAACGACTGCTGTCCCTCTCCTCCAACCCAAACAGACGGTCCATAAACACTTCTTGAGTTTTGATAACATAACATATTTGAGTATTGTGTATGACCTTCAGTATGTGTGAAAAGTATTTGAGGTACATTACCAAGAAGATAAAAACTAGATATGACATTCCAAAGTGGAATTCAAAGGTATAACAGATGCTCTCATCAAAAGTAGGTCACCTTGAGCTACTAGGCACTCAAATGATATAACCACCATGTTGATAAGACTTTTAAAAAAATCTGCATAAAGAGGCACATTGGTGAAAATGGCAAATGTATATTTTTCAAATGCCCTTCACTTTGAACCTAACCTGTAGCTCCACCCAAACTTTGTTTTTCAAAGTACAAACTCTCCAGACATTCTGTACAGGATATCCCAATGATGTCCAAGCAATACATGGTTTGAAAAACAAATTATAGTGGCACCTGTTGCAGTGGTCAAATTCTGACAAACCAGCTTGTAACCCACCATTAAGGATAATCGTTATTGATCATGACCATGGCAATTGCAACAAAGATTCTCCCAAACACAGCTGCAGGTACGGACAGCCACTCAAGTGAATGTCAGTTCACAGACCATAAGAAACTGTCTCCATGTTGCCAGGATCCATTCAAGATGTCCAGCTGTAACACCACCTATTCTGGCCCAGCTCATATTCATTGGAATAAGCACCAAATGGTCACATCGGCTGTTTACTGATGTGTCTTGATTCTGCCTGCAGTTCAGTGATGGTTAGATTTCCGTCTTTAGATGTGGTGAAAGCTTTCATGGTGTATCTGTAATGGTCTTGGGTGGCTTGAGCCTTTAACACAAAATCCCTCTTCATCACCTCCATGGAAATCTCACAACAGTGTGGCTCAGAGATGAGATTGTACCATCCAAATTCCTGCCACATTTGTCTGAAGTAATTGATACTCTACATTTAATGTGGTTAACGACTTTCAAATGGCTGTGATACAACAAGGATTTACAGATGATGTACATCACAATTTGTGATGTACATGAAGTCACAGTTGAAGCTGATGATAGTAAAGCTTGACTAGGAGCGACCTTGCTCCAAACTGGGCAACCAATCTGTTTTGCTTCTCAGTCACTCTTGCCAAATGTGCAACTATGCACAGATAAAAATAGAAGGTTTAGCTATTGTTTGTCTGAGAAAGGTTTGACCAGGAGAAGACACATGCGAATTCTGACCACACAAATCAGCTCCAAAGCAGAGTAGATCTATGATTACAAAAGTATAATCTTGAGATGAACTACAAGATGGATTCTGAAATGTGCATTGAAGACCTCCCATCAAGAACATTTTTCCCAAGCCATCAAATAGAAGTGTTTCAAACAGATTATGTGATCTTCAATATAACACAGGAAAATGTAGTCTTTATGGATATGGAGAGTGTCATCAATCTGAGACTGGATCAAATACAGTGACTGACGTCGACGCAACAGCATACTTGGTAGGAACTCTCAAGTCAAAAGCTCTTGCAGGATAGACAGATCACAGAGACAATACTCCTGTGTCAAAATATGAGACATTAGCAGATGAGTTGACACTGCACAATAGTGTTCTATACAAGGATGTTGTGTCATTATTTCACCAGCTCTTAGATCTGAAATGTTGAAACGGATTCCAGTCATATTTGATCTGACCCTTTTATCAGGAAAACCATATTTACTAGCAGAGTAGAATAGGTAATGGGGGTTCTGGCTCACTTCAACTGGAGCCAGATTTATATACTTATACCACCACTACAGGGGGAATTTTTTATGCAAAAATGATGATGCGATTTAACAATCGTCATGATTCGTATTAAAAGAAACATCAATATTAATTAATAATGGATAAAATTTACTATAGCCCACGAGGATATTGGAAAGGTATAGGAGCAATAAAAAAATTAGCCACTGCGGCTTAGGTATCTAAAGATGTGGCCAAGGATTGGTAAAAGAAACAAGCGATGTGGCAAATATACTTACCAGCACCGCATTATATACCGAGGAAGAAGTTTGATATTTTTACAACGAATGAAGTTCATCAGGCTGACCTCTTGTTTCTTCCCCATGATAAGGTAAGATGCAAAACATATAAATATGCTTTAACCGTAGTGGATGTGGCTAGTCGATACAAAGAGGCTGAGCAATTAACCTCGAAAGATTCAACAGAAGTAGCTTAGGCACTGAGTCGCATATATAAACGCGGACTACTAAAATGGCCTAAGCTATTTCAAGTAGATCCTGGTTGTGAGTTTATGGGATCAGTAACTAAACTGTTAACAAAGCACGATGTCGACATCAGGCGTGGTGAAAACGAGGCCCACCGCAGTCAAGCTATCGTTGAAAGATTTAACCGGACATTAGCGGAACGTTTGTTTGGCTATCAGTATGGGATCAAAATGAAATCCGAACGATTGAGATCAACCGAATGGTGGACACGATTATCAGCTGTTGTATCAGTGCTGAATAATGAAGTAACGAGATTAATCGGGAAGAAACCATCCGATGCGATTAAAATGAAATCCGTGATTTCCGAATCTTCAGCACCGAGGAAAGGCAAAGAACAAAAACGTCCGGATAGATATTTATACCAGCCCGGTGAACTCGAAGGAGGCCTACGTCGCGCAAACGATCCGATTTGGTCTCTTAAGACATATAACATTAGTAGATAAGTTATGAAAGAAGGAGAGCCTATTTTTTATAATCTTAAAGATGGACCGGGCAGGGCATTTGTACGAGAAGAGTTGCTTATAGTTCCAAACGATACAGTATTACCGCCATAACCATAAGCATAGGTAGTTACACCATCCTTATCAATCCATCTCTTTGTATCTAAGGGGGATAATGATGTCTTGTTCATTCTTAATCCATATATCCTGTGATTGTAACTTCTTAAAGAGTTCATCTCGTGTTTGAATGTTCTACCGTTGAATAATGTTACTTTATACTGTTCGTGTTTGATATGCTTTTATACCACATACTTCTTAACACCCTTAGCTTTTCTTATCTCTCCATTATCAGACTTCTTTATAGAATACATCTTAGTTCTTAATCTGACATACTCCGCTATAGGAGTCCAAGCACATTCATCCTTCATCTTACCTAACACCTTTTTATTTACTACGCTGTGCAGTGGATTATCTTTTGGGTAATCGCTCGTGTCGTACATATCTATTTTTTCTGCCATATCTTTATACACATCCTGGGTTTGTATTTCCAACAACAAAGAATCTGTGTCGGTATATAACACCTGACATCTATCGCCGTACTGCTTCTTAAGTTCGTTGTAATAAAAGTCATACATTAAGTGCTTTGACAAGTTGAGAATACTCATACTGACGTACACCGGTCTGTTGAATTTTATATTACTCTTCTGCATATGCAACGCGGCTAAGTCGTTATCGAATATCTTGCTTCTGTTAAAAGCCGGAGTGGCTATAAGTTTCCTGAGTCTTTCTTCCTCATTAGATCTGACTAATTTAACATCAACACGCTTCCTTAGATTCTCCATAGTTTTACCAAATACTGAGTTATTCATGAGCTTATACAGGTCCTTTTCGAAATCGCTGGTAGCTATCTTTCTTAAATCTGTGTTCAGCCTTATATAGGGCTCCATCCAAGGGCTTTGATCAAACTTTAGAACTCTGTGTATTTTCTTTAGTTTCATACCTAACGATAGATATAACTGAAGATTTCTGTAGTGAACTATATATTTTGTCTTATCCATCAAATTTGGTATGAGTTTTTCTACGTTAGCTAACCTAGTATTACCCATCAAGGAGTGTTGATATTCCGACATCCAATCTTTATTCACCATTAATCTTTCGGAGCTAGCGGATAACTGTTATGGTCTTTATGTAACTCTGTTGGATATTCCAAGTCAACTTCTAGTATGTACCCTTTATTCACATTGATATTATGGATATCATTCACTTCGATATCATCGACCCACTCAAAACCACCTGTGGGTAAAGGTTGACTCATAGCCCATCCGTACAAATTGTTGGCGTCGAGATATAATATGTGTGTGTAGGGTTTACTCGGATTATATCCTTCCATTAATTTATTATTAGCCTTAGAATACCTTTTCACTACCATCGATATACCACCTCTTAATCCTTTCTCAATAAACAAGTGCATATCATAATCGGTGCGTA